TGAGAGTGCAATTATAGTCAAACTATACTCAAAGAGTTAACCATAGAGAAACAGTTTTGGACCAACTAGTGACATGAATTTGTACTGTGTGTATTGACTTGTGTGGCTATGTAAAGCCAAGAGACCTGTATAAAGATACAGCTAAAGTACAGTAGTTATGATACTGGAAAAAAGAGACAATGCACTGTGTTCAGTGAACTGATGATGTTTATGAATAAATAATGGCGGAGAACATTGAAAAGAGGAAACACGTCTCCCTGTCTTATGATTTCTTTCCTGTATTACAGGATACATACATCTGCTTACAGGTGTTAGATTCTGATACCTGTAACATAAACAGATGCTAAATGATTTCAATGTTTTATTCTTAGTGGGTTTTTATTGTGAATTTATTTTGTGTCTTAGTTTGGTACTGTAAATAATTTATGAAGATTATGATTTATGATGTTTTAGAGTGATGTGAATACCCCGATTGAACCTACACTACAGTGCTCTGTCATACACTCAAATATAATCACTTATATTTCACTCCATTTCACCTCTTTCTTGTCAAAACTGTGCCAAAAGATAAACAAGGGAAGCAAGATATAAGAAACTAATAAACAGTACTGTATACTGTGTATACTATATAATAAAGTGATTTAATAAACTGTCAAAGAACAAGAGGTTTAAAGCTCTACATGGGCTCCATTTCTCACTAGCATATTTGTAGTACAGCTGTACACCCTATTTGCATTCACATTTTACAGTTTCCAGTGTCATGCCATTAATCCCTTGCAAGATTCTAAGGAGGAATTTGCACATCACATCTTGCTTAATATGGTGCGCACCCTTATGCTGTCTATGGATTACTTTGGACAACTTTGCCACTGAAAAAGACTATGACATGACCCAACACGGTACACAAATCTATTATCCAAATATATTATGTTAGTTTGACTGGTATACAACCAATCACATACTGTAATTTAAAGCTAATTTTACATTCAGATGTCACAAAGAACTTAACAGAGAAGCAAGCACACTGCAGAGTAGGAAGGGAATATGGGGTGCATTAAAGGACACATTCCATTGGCAAATATTCCGTAATTGATCAAAGCCCATACTATGTGCTGCTGTATTTGTGTAGCACCGGTACAGCTATGGTTGCAAGGAGAAATCATGGTTTGCAAATAATAACGAGGATCAGGCCTGATCAAAAGAAAAGCCCAGAATTAAGTAACTCAAGCATTAAATTAAGGCACTTGTGTTAGCAAGCAAAACAACAGGGTGTGTGAAGCCAAAGGAAGGCAACATAGTAGTACAGAGGTAAAGTGCTGCATGCACAACTCAGGACTTTCAGCTGTCACACCACAAAACCTAAACCCCTGTGTAGAGATCTATATATAAATACAGGCTAATCCCATGCTAGACAAGACCATTACACTGATTACTACCCAAGATGTAGTTGCTAGCAAGATTTTCCAGATGATAACAGACTTTTACAGTGTGCAAAACTTCATGAGCATATATCGAGTTGCACAACCCTTGCACCTGCACATTGTGGGTCTCAAGTGATTCTGAGCTTTAGGTGTTGACCAAGCAGACAGAGTTTAACATAAAAAAAGCTTTTGACAAGTCTTCCAATGCTACGGACAAACAAAACTAAATCTTGTCATGCCAATTATTTATCCCATTAAAAGAACTCTCAGCATCTTCTTAAAAACATTTTCTTAATATATTCAAAGCTATGTTTGTGTACAAAACAACATAACATATCCATATACACAATTTGAATATGTTATAGATAGAAAGTCACTGCCCATTGAATGGTCACCAGACAGGAGATATAATCAAAAGTTTTAACTATGCTAGCAACAAGGTCCATCACTCTGTTCCAGACTGAAGAATCATCACTGCTAGTGAATGGACTGCCACATAGATATTTGTGCTTTCTATAGAGGATGAATGGATCCCTGATGTATCTTCTAGAGGCAACATGTTTTGACTACTGTTATGTGGACTGCCGTAAAATTTCAACATTTACTGTATGTTGCTCTCAAGATGAACTATAATAATTTTGTGATCCCCTGACTTTTGATCCAGTGATCCAGACTTCTGATACTTTGGCTTATAAGTAAATGACTTGCGAAACACATGATCAGCATCAAGTCA